AGAGAGAGAGAGAGAGAGAGAGAGAGAGAGAGAGAGAGAGAGACAGAGAGAGAGAGCCTCAATTGGGAGATTGGCAGGACTCGTTGCTGATAGAATAGAGCGAACATCATGAAGTGTAAAAGCGGACTGACTCAGACAAAGTTTTGATCTGCTGAAGGCCCGTCATCGTTTCGAAGAACGTGGAAGGACACCTTGATTTTTGTAGTAAGTTTGCAGGGGGTTGTGTTCGGCCTTGCTTGATAATAGGACTGTTCAGTGACAGAATCTGTGTGCAGTTGTGACCGGATTTGGCCCACCGAGTCCTTGCTCTACAATAGATTATTGTTCTTTGAGGACTTAGCTAAGATTTCTTGAGCTTAACTTTGATTTTGAGAAGTTTTGGACTTAGTGAGAAGTGGATGGTACGCTGGACCCGCTTTGAAATTCCAGCATTGGCCGAAACTGGTTAATGGCCCCAACTGTTCCGGGTTGAATTGTGAGGACCCCGGCCTCAATCCATTTCTCTCAAATACAGAGTAACCGACTTAAAAAAAAAAATAATAATAATAAAAAATTGGTGGCTGTATCTTTCTGCATTCCACGGGAAAATACGTTCTGCGTTTGCACATTTGGTGAGCAGTGTTGTGAGGCCCATATCTGCTCGGACTGGATTCGAATTGGAACCGACAATGCAGAAGACAAGCATGAGCCTGGCTCCACTGCTCGCTAAATGCAGAAAAGACAAAAAATATGGCGGTGTATCTTTCCATGTGCTTCCTGAAGAGTCGTTCTCATTTTGCACATTTGGTGAGTAGTGGAGCGAGACCGGATGACGCGCACAAATGGAGAAGTATGACCTCGCTCTATTACTCAACATTGGACACGTTTCTGGACTCGCGGATGGACAGGATACGTACCTACAAAAATTTTTGAATGTAATGGAACCAATGGTGTAGTATAGCAAGAAAGAAAGAGAGATATGGGGGAGGGAAAGTTTGCACGCGACTTCTGCAGCGCTAGTTCCCCTGGTTGGCGACTTTGGTTGTTTTCACCATAGCTATCCAACCTTTTACCGAGAGCGGAGAAGGTAATTAGGGTGTCGGAATTACTCTCTAACCGCATCGACGCTGTAACCCTAGGAGACCACTTTCTCCTAGCCCACGGTGCAAATTTACCCAGACATATTCAGAATTACCAGCGTAACGCTCACTAAGAGCGTTCCGCTGCAGGGATCTTTACACTCTTACTCTCCCCGTTTTTGGGAAGTTCTTCGAGCATCTCTTGCTTGCCTTTCCCTTTACAACTGCCATTTCGTCAAAATGGACATTTTTTATTTTTTGAACGAAGTTGAAACTGAGTTTTTTCAACTTTTTTGGCCGAAAACTCGTCTAAATTTGCTGCTCTTAAGGGTCCGGCATTTTTAAAACGCTGGACCCCCTGTATGTGTCTGGACCTAGCTTTAGACCAGATACATCTAGGTGGTCCCCCCTAGATGTATCTGGTCTCAAGCTACCGGGAGTGGAGAAGGTAATTAGGGTGTCAGAATTACTCTCTAACCGCATGGATGCTGTAACCCTAGGAGACCGCTTTCTCCTAGCCCACGGTGCAATTTTACCCAGATATATTCAAAATTACTAGCGTAACGCTCACTAAGAGCGTTCCGCTACAGAGATCTCCACAGTCTTAGGGCGTCGTTCGACACACCTCAGCGCGTCCTCGGGCTCCGAAGACGAATCCTCGGAGCAATTTTTGATTTTCGGAGGTGTCGTTCCACCTGTCCTCGGAGAATTGCCCCGAGGACGAATCCTCGGGGCCCTCCCGCGGCCAGTTTAATTAGATTATACACAGCCGCGAGAGGAATGTCCGGCCTCTAATTCGGGATGTCCGTGTAGCAGTCGTGGTGGGCCAAAACGCGGACGGCGGGAAGACGTCACGGGCCCTTGGAAAATAAAACGCCAACGCGGGAAAATCCCCTTTCGAAATTCGAATTTTGAATTTTGACGTTGCGGAGCGACGTGGTGGCGGCGCACAGGTGGGTCAGCCAGGGGCCAGCCTACGCCGCGCAGGGTTTCGTTTGCCATCGCGTTGTGTATTTCAGCGGCACCGCACCGCCACTGTGTCAAGTGTGGTCAACGCGACGAAACGAAGACGTCCGGTAGGCAGTCGCGTTCGCCACGTGCAAGCGCCGCGGCGGTGGGTGGACGCCAGCGGTGGTGGGTGGACGCTCCAATCGGAATCGCGTCGTTGGGATGGGCTGTCTTCTTGACGTGGTTGCAGGCGTCTTCAACCGTGGCGGCATACGTGCACGGAGGTGGGCGGCGGTGGACGTCGTTTTTTGTCTACGAGGGACGTGATGGACGGCTGCGATGGCGATGGACCTGCTGTGCTGTCGACGACGGAGAAGACAGCAGTCGCGGCGGCTGCGGTTGCCGTTGTCCGTCGTTTTCAAATCGAGAGTGCGGCCGGGCGCATGAAGGCAGCGCTTTCGAGGCGGCGGCAGAGGCTACTGCTGCAAAGGGTGTTGGACGCCCCAGACTGCATCACCACATCCCAAGCCGTGGTTCAGCTGTGTGCTGCTATCGGGTGCGTTTTGCTTCCTCGGGCGACGCCACGTTGGTGGATGCGGCGGAGAGCTGGCAGGACTTGGGAGGATTTACGGGTTTGCAATGACGCGACAGAGGACTACTTCCGGGAAAAGCTCCACATGTCGAGGAGAGTGTTCATGGAGATCAGCGAAGCATGTGCGCCTCATGTGCAGCGGCAGGTGACGTTTTACAGGGAGTCACTACAGCCGGAGCAGATCAACACATACGCGCTGTAGAAGTGGGCCACAGGAGAGTCTTACGATAACAGCACATCATCCTTCGGCATGGGCAGGACTTCCGGAGTTCGAGCCGTGTGCGATGTGACAGCCGCCATTTTGAGGGTGTACGGGGAGAAGATATCGTGGGCGACGGGGGTGCGGAAACAAGTCGTCCTACGGGCTTTTCTGGACAAGGGCTTTCCAAATTGCCATGGCGCAGTTGACTGCACACACATCTACGTGGAAAAACCGGCGAACACGCCTAGCGAGAACCACTTCGACCGCAAGCACCGTTTTTCCGTCATTGCGCAGGTTGTGGTGGACCTGGATCTGCGCGTCCTTGATGTGTTCGTGGGATATCCGGGTAGCTGCCACGACATTAGGGTGATCCAGCTGTCAAGTCTGTTGAGGCGCGCGGTAGAGGGATTGCTGTTTCGTGGGCCGCCTGTGACGCTGCCGGGAGGGGTGACGACGAACGGATACATCTTGGGCGACAACGGGTATCCTCCTTCTGAGTGGGTTGTGGTGCCGTACGGAGGAATCAATCAGCACCCGGATGAGGAAAGGTTCGGTACGAAACAGAAGGTCGCAAGAGGGGCTGTGGAGAGGGCATTCGGGAGGTTGAAAGGGATGTGGAGGCTCTTCCTGCGGACGCACATGACGAACCTCGAGAGTCTGCCGCAGCAGTTCACGGCGGTATGCATTCTCCACAACATCCTGCTCGATGCAGGAATCGAGTTCGACGAGAATTTGTTGTGGGAGGTCGACGCGAACGGGGTGAGGCGGCGAGTGGACCTAGGGATTCATCGCCCCCCGCAGCCAGTGTCCATGTTGACTTCGACGCACGAGGCTCATGCGCTCCGCAATGCACTGGCGCAACGGATGAAACACGTTTGATCCACCCAACCGCCTACCTGTTCGTCTCGTTGAAGTCATGCCGTCGCGGTCGGATTCTTTTCAGGTGTTTGTTCTTGTATTCGATGACGCTGTATAGGTCCAGTCTGTCGCGCAGCGGGAGTGCGACGGGATCGCTAATGTAGTACTCGTCCTCTGCGTTCGTCTTTTCGTATTTCGGTTCTTCATTGTCCTAGTGGCCGAGAAGTTTGTTTTCCCGCGCAATGACGTGGAGTCGTCGATGGATTCGGTCCTTGTCTGATGGGGGTTTGGGGGGGGGGGGGGGGGGGGGGGGGGGGGGGGGGGGGGGGGGGGGGGGGGGGGGGGGGGGGGGGGGGGGGGGGGGGGGGGGGGGGGGGGGGGGGGGGGGGGGGGGGGGGGGGGGGGGGGGGGGGGGGGGGGGGGGGGGGGGGTTTGTCGTAGACGGGAGTCGTAGTCGAGGGCTGGCACGAAGAGGTTCGTGAGCCCGCTGTTTCGCATGCGCTTCACGCGCCTCTTTTTTTTAGAACTCTCGAACGGTGCATTTTTTTGATGATGTTTGGCAATGGATTTTTCGGTGTACCCAACTGCTGCTATTCTTTCGAGGGATGTTTTTTTTTTTTTTTTTTTTTTTTTTGCGGTGCATGGAACGTGTGTTGTGCATGTCGTCTAGGCTTGTCTCCGTTTTTTTCCAAAAAGCTCTTCGACTTCATTTTTTGCATTGACGAATGACATGCATCGCGTTTGTGAATCTCGAAAAGCCTTGTTGTTGCATTGACGACTGACATGCATCGACAATGAAAAGAAAGATGAACTCGCGACTGATGTGCTCATCATGCAACCGTGCAACGAAGACACAATCATTTTATTTCTTTTTCTTGTTAAGTTCACGGCGATGACAACGATGCCGCGATAGGTGAAATGGAAAAAACACGGGCTCATACACAAGAAGATGCGGACAACGATGCGATGGCCATTCACGCGTACGTCATGTGATAAAACCACACAGAAGACAACAACGACATGACTCCGTGCGCAATCTTTTGCATGCAAACACAAGACATGGAAAAAGCAACACACATTTCACTGAGTTCATATAACATAAAATCCATCGCATAGGCGACAATTCCCCCTTCTATCTGACTATGGACACTTCAAGCTTTCCGCACTACACACCAACTGGTCCTGTCGTCTACGCACATTTCGGCGGAGCAGTCCGCCGACCCAATTAACCCTGCGGCGGAGCAAGCGTACCAAGCGCGCTCCAATCACCTAATAATGACATAAAATAAACGAAAGCATCGTTCACTACACATGCACCACGACGACTGCAACCTGACCTATACATAACGACACTCGAGACCAGACGCCGTTCGAGTCGCCACGACCACTCGGCCCCCCCTCCCCCCCGCCAACCAACCCCAACCCCCCCCCCCCCCCCCCCCCGCCCTTCCCCGCTGAACAAGCAACACCAGCCGGCACCCATCCCGCCCGTGCTGCCCCGTCTGCAGTTGCAGGCGCTGCGTTCGTCGTTGCGTCTTCCAATACTACAATCGGTCGACGATCCGCACCCTCACGCTGCGCCACGGACGCACCCACGTGTCAACCGTCCTCGTCTCCCACTTCCTCCGCCAAAGGCCCGCTGCCAATCCATCCGTGTTTCGCGGCTTCCGCCGCATTCTTCAGGGTCGCGTTGTGGCCGAACACCAACCCGCAGTCACACCATTCCGGAATGCAGTGCGGTTATTCTCCCAGCGTGAGGTGAGCCTTCCCTAGACGATCCAAGACGAGGTTCGCACTGTCGACAATGTGTCGCCGCCAGTTGAAGATGTACGACCCCGCCGCTATCATTTTCGGTTTCGTGACCATGGACGAGTAAAGGCACGCCTCGTAGTGCGAACGATCGTCGTCACCACCCATGCGCATGATCCACATGCACGCGCTCAACAACGCTCGAAGACAGTCCGCAAGACGTGACAACCTCTCCTGTTTCACGCGCCCACCGTCCGCCCATTGTCCACACCACAGTGCGTTTGTCCAGCACTCCGCGATGCGAAGAACTGTCGCCTCCTGCCGCGCCGCCATGTCGTCGTCCTCGGGCCGATCCACAATCTTCACCTCCGCGAACCACAAAGGCACGTCCATGTTCAGCGCCAGAGTGTGGTACACGAGTGCAGGGGACACCACGTTCGACCATTCCTGCCCCTGCCGAACTGCTCGTGCGACGTCTGTGGCAATGTCGACACTGATGTACGACTCTGCACGAGCTCCAGTGGATGGCGTGCAACACCAGTTTCTCGACGTTGCGCGCTCTGCGCAGAGCCGGTTCACGCTGCGCAGGGTCGTCAATCTTGAAGCGCGACACGTCGTTCGGGGGCAGTATGAGCATCGCAGGCGGTTCAGCTCCCGCGTCTCCATTGACGATTGCGATGAAGTAGTCCGCGCTCTTGCCAACCGCCTCCCTCAATGGTTTCCGCGGTCCCTGACCCCAGAAAGAGTAGCAATCAACCCACAACTTCGATCTTTCCTCTAGACCATCCTCCTTTGCGGCTCCCTTCAACCTCGTCACAAGTGGACGGTCGTCGTCGTCGTCGCCCTCCCGCTTTCCATCTCTTCTTCCCTCGTCGTGGCGGACGTCGTCCACCCTCTCCTTGCCCGCACCTTTGGCAACTCCGGTTCTACCACAGCGATCCGCCGCCGCGGTCCGAGTGCCGATCGCCGTTGCATCGCCCTTTTGCGCGGGCTGTGCTTCCCCTCCCCCTGAAGCCCCCAGCTGTTGCAGTGGAAGTGCCTGACGTGGCTGGCCTTGCCCCGTCGCCGCTGGAAGTTGCCTCGGGACGCGCACCTCCGTTATGACAACCCTTGCCGCCTTCGGAGTCCTTTGCGACTCCCCGGCAGCACCAACAGCAATGCTCTGCTTGATAGTGGACACCTGTTCCCTCGTCAACCCATCTCGCCCGAAACCCAATCGCGGCGCCGCTGAAGTACCTTGCACGTCCACCATCACCACTTCTTCTGGCAGGACGTCTGCAGTGTGCTCGGAGCTCGACTCTTCAACGCGCTGCCTTTTCGTCTTAGGGATGTGCCCTCTGCCTCTCTTGGTTTCCCCCTTGTCGCCGCCCCGCTATTTTGCCTAGTCTTCACCGATGCGTTCCTCGGGGCCATGTCGTCTGCAACTCGGCAACGACGAACACGTGGACGAAGGAGCACGTGGAAGTACGACGCTTGGAGATCGACGACAGCCACGTCGACGAAGGAGCACGAGGACGATGCACAGTCGTGGTGGGCAGGAGCCACGACGATGATGGCCACAGAAAAAGAGCACGTGCTTGCGGCGCGTGAGGGGGGACTGCACGTGGTGCACAAAGCGTGAGAGTGGAGGCGCAAAGGGTGGGAAGTGCTGGATTGCGGCGACGAATCGGTGATCAGACGACACCGTCGGAGACGTGGACAATGGAGTACTGTCGTACGGACTGCGGCCCGGAATCTCCTTTTCAACGCGGTGCACCAACGCCACACACCGTGTACACGCCACGCCGTCCACGACAGCCCGCCCCCAGGCCGATCGTACACGGACCGTTTTTGCCCCGAAGGCTTCTGGCAATCCTTCGTATGGCCAACAAAGTGTGCGGGCGCGCAGGAGGACCATGGTGGAGGTGAAAAGACCCCGGCACGCTTCCGTCACCCGCCACCCCCCAGAAAAACACAAAGAAGGACCTTGGTGGAGGCGCCCCTATCCTCCATTGTCCCCTCCCACCCCAAAAAAAAAAACACACCC